CCTTCCCCCCCCGCCGCCCCTGCGCCCGGCGCAGCGCCAGGACGATGGGCTGCGGCGTTTCTGCGGGCTGTTTCCGCAGCAGGTTGGGAGCAGCGGCCTCGTGAGAACCCGATTCGGTTTGTGTCCCTGAATAAGCCCTTTCCCGCTGCCAGCGCCGGGTTCTGCTGGGACGTGGCCCTTTGTGGGCGCGGAGCTGCTGGCTGGCACGCCGGCTCAGCGGGCAAACGCCGCCGGGGTTTCCATGAGCAGCTTTAGCTTTTCTCCAGCGGTGAAGTTTCCTTCTTGATTCGGGGCTGGGGGGAGCTGCTCGCCGGGCACTGCCATCGGCCGGGGCGGCCGGACTCGGTCACCGCCGGAGCTGCTCGGGCAGAGCCGCCCCAGGGAGCACGTACCCAGAGGGACACCGGTCCCCACTGCCGGGCTGGTGAGCAGCAGCGGCACGGGGAATTCGAGCTGGGAGGGTGGTCCCGGGGTGGGTGTCCAGCAGTTGCCAAAGGAGCCCGCGGCTGGTTTACCCCACGGGGTGGTGCAGGATTCACAGGGAGGTGGAGGGCTCCGGCTAAAGGGCTCGTTGGGTTTCCAGCCCAGATCACCACGTGGGGCTGTGTCGGGGATTATCTGAGGCCGCTCTGACCCCGAGGTCTGTGAACAAAGGTGCAGATGCATTAGGAGAGTTAAAAAACCACAAGTTTAATAGGTCAAATACCAAGTTTTACATGTTTGAGTAACTCGAAATTGAATATGTTGCAGTCCTGGTTACGTCACACCTCACATCTCTTGTTACTGTGCACTTATTTTCCGTGTTTTCCGTGAAAACGGCAGGGTAGTCGCAAAAGGAACACGTAGGGGAGATTCGGGATCAGAGCTGGGGTCGCGGCAGCGTGAAGCTGCCGTCGCGTTCGCCGGCCGGAGTTGGGGCTGTCCGGCTTCGCCGCGCATCGTGCCCAGGGGGGAGGTCACGGGGACGGAGGCGGTGAGGTCCCGCGGCGGATCCCGAAGCACAGCCCCGGCCCTGGGGGGGTAACAGTCTGAGTGGCTCTGCGCTCCGAAGCTGTGAAACTGTGTGTAAGTAACGCAGTTAAGGAAGAGGAACGGCCG